TATCTCTCCTATTTACCAAATATCCATATATCGTACTTAGAGATTCTGGTTCGCAACGGTTCGCCTGTCGTACCTCCGGGTTCTTTCTTCTTCAACAGAAACCAACAAGGTAAATCACCTATTTCTCACTTGAACATCTCCTCTTTATGTATAACGAGCCGATTTATCCAAACAACCCATTTAGTCCTTAATGCCTTTCACTAAACTGCTTGCTTAGTTTCAACACAACGTCCTTCTGGTTGTCAATGAATCAACTAATAGCAGATCTTGAATGACTCACTCTGGCATCCGACGGAAAACATCGAGTCTTTACTCAGAACTGACATGACGGAATTCTTTCGTTTGGAAAGGGCAAAATACAGAGCAAAATCAAAATCAGACCCATTGCTGCAAGGAAAGCGATAGAAACCAACCACTAGTGATCCTTCTTGATTGCAAGCGTAGACGCATCCCGCCCAATCGCAACAGTGACGCCTCGCAATCGACTTACCAAGGAAAGCACGCTGAAGACGCTGTTGCAGGACAACAAGGAAAGGCAGCTATTGACTGCCAGGATGCAAAACATCGCGTTAACACTACCCGCAGAAAACATGCAGTTCATGCCATACACGGAAAAGAGTCCGTTGATGCATGTCTTCACCTTGTAGTTGAACCATATCCAACAAGAGTCTTTTTCAGACACGCAAAACCCATCGGTACTGAACATTGCATCCGCAGGAGGGACTATCCGGTCATCGGTGGTGCAGGCGGGAGTTTCCTCCTCTTTGGTGTTTTCGATATCAGTCGACATGTTGCTTAGAAAAGACAATTATAGAGCGGTTAGGCAGCGATGGAGTTCGATGATAAAAAAATGATCAGTAATAAAGTAGTCGAACTTACCCTACCAAGTACGCAAAAGACACGGGGTCTTTACATTTGCAATAGAAGGGTTTTGAATACTACAAAAAAGAGAACCGCCGCTCTCATTATTTATTTGAGCTCATCTTTTCCGTTGAATACAGTATTCATCTTGGAGTGATTATCACGGTAGATTAAGCATTTTTATGATTAAGGTTCAAATACCGTAGAGGCACGTGCGCGAGAGCATGCCTTCTCAAACAATGAGTTCTTTAGAGTCGTGTTCGTCGGACCGTGCTGGCCTGGTGCTGGCATCTGGCATCATACATGTACGTACGTACCTTCTTGTAAAAAAGATGGTACGTACATACAATTACACCTGCGAAGATTGTACCGTATGTTACAAAGTACGAGTAACATACGTATTACTTCTACTCATTAATTGTTCTTCACTATTTTCATGGCAAACGAACAGCGAACAGTCTAATCCGAGTCGTGCACGGTGTTCAAAGCCTACAGAAAATGACTGGTACTAGAAAGAGCGTCTACCCGTACGATAACCCTACAGCACCTATCGCATGCAAGACGACACCGATTCTCTCATCAAAATTCTTCCCAGCTTGAAAGGAAAGGGATAGAAAAGCATCAACAAAAAACACGAACTCGTGCCAGAATGGACGTTCTGCGTTCAGTTATACTTCGAAAATCATGCGCCCATCAACAAGTAGCAGTGAAGCTTCAGAACAAGCTGTCATCGGGTCGGATAATAGCAGCTTGGGCAGCGACAGCGATAGCGAAGAAGGTTGGGGTTTTCTCCTTGGCGGCCTTTCGACCGAGTCGATGGCATCAGCGAACTGGGAAAAGAAGGAAGAAGAGGGCATCAGCAATACGAGTGGGCGGATCAACGAACCAATCGAAAGTAAGAATGTCGTGTCTGTGTTGCCCATGGGTTCTTCTTCTAGAGAGGTTCCATCGTACGAGGTGACTGGTGGCGAGAGCAAGCAATGTGGCGCAACTGCCGCGACCAGTGACAACATTGTAGAGCAGAAGATTTCGCAGCGTGCGTTTTGCTTGTCTCCCAATGGCCAGATTCTGAAGCCACCGGTTCAAATATTGGACCGCTCCTGCGAGCAAAAAGGCAACATAACGATTGCTACAAGCGATATTGACAAGGGACAGGTGATTTTTACTGAAAAGGCCCTGTTGGGAATCCAGGTTGTTCCCTCCCAGACAACGTCTTTGGCCGACACAAAAAGCGGCATGTATGCGGTTCGATCTTGCCAGCTGTGCTTCCGCTCTCTGGAATCGGCTTCGTGTTTGTCGGAAGAAGGTCTTCCATTCTCAGAGCTGTGGCCTATTCCCGAGTACGACGATCCGACGACGATGGAGTGCGTTGCGATAGGAGATCCAAACGAACCCGCTGTTGCCACGCACGAGTACACGCGAACAAAGAGCGGAATCCTTACCTGCCGGGACTGTGGGGTCATGTTTTGCAATCGATTTTGCGCCTCGAATCATTCAAAGGTAGTGGGTGATTGTTGTCGTTGCACACGCGCGATCAAAGGAGTGGTAAAATCCATCGTCTCCGGTGAGAGGGAAAGAAGACAATTGACCGAACAATACAACAACAATTTGGACACCAGCAACAGTGATAACAGCGGTATCTGCAATTGTGGTGCGGAGCAAGAAGACTTTGGTGATTCTGAAGCCCTTGTGGACATAGATCCAGTTTTGATTTTGGCAGCCAAAATGTTCGTTGCACACGTCCATGTATGCCGAAAGAATGGAGATGGGTTTCGTGGCAATGACGGTGATAATGAGGTTGCCTCGGATACTCTCTTTTACGGACTATGTGGGCAGGCCGAAGATGTAGCATCACTTAGCTTGGGGTCTGCTTCTATACCGTCGTCGTTCTCGGACGACGGCGACCAGAATTCCAAATCGCCGTTACCACTTCTCAAGGAATACAACGCCATCGCGGATGCCATTGAGTTGACTGAGATGGAACGCAGAAGCAGTTCTTTGTGTTCGCTACAACAATTTCAGAAGATCGCTGCAATAGCACAAAGAAACTCGATATCCTTGGCCACTGGATCGCCGTTTCGAACCTACTATCAAGGCATGATCCGAAAGACGGGAGGGAGAGGTTCAAGTCGGCAGCAGCAAGTTGTTTCGGATGTGGCTAGGCTTTTGGGTGCGAAAGATGGGAAACTCACGAAAGATATGGATCGGATTGTGGAAGAGAAGGTACGATATCGTTTGCAAACTAGCATTGCTGATGCAATTCACTGTGCCGGCGGACCGACCGGTGTCCGCGAAGACTTGAAACGTTTGGAACCAGTAATAGACTCTTCGTCGTTTCTAACCATAATTTTCCTGAACCTTGTTTTGCAATACTTGCTTGCATTATGGTGTCACAAAATTATGAGATCCGCAGTGCGTTGTCAAAATGGGAGGGATATTCACGCTGACCGCTAGAATGAATCATTCCTGCGATCCGAACGCTGAAATACGAGCCCAGGAATACGTAGATTGCAACGTCGATATCGTTGCGAAGAAAAACATTCGTAGAGGAGAGGAAATTTGTATCAGTTACGTCTACCTTGGACAAAACCCAAGCAATAGCGTTATTGCAAGGAATAGACGGCAGAGAGAGTTGAGATCGAGATATTTGTTTCAGTGCCAGTGTTCCTGGTGCAGTAGATGCTAATCATAGTTTACAGTCATTGGCGACATTTTGTAGGGCTCGCAAACATAGCTCGAAATTGTCTTCCACTGCGCTTGAAATGATTTTGTTGCCTTGCGAACTATTGTGTGATATATTTGTTGTCTGCCATTGTTTCCACCGTAACAATTCCGTCATCAAAGAGGGTTGAATTGGCACTGATAACTGCTATTCCTTAACACCAATTGATGAGAAGCCAATTCTTGAGTAGATAATGAGCGAACCATATCCTTGCCCTTTGATGCAAACCCCATGATGCTATCATATACTGGAGAGCTTAATAGTATTCAGCAAATGGAAGTACATTTATCAAAGTCCTTCTACTTCACTCTACTACTAGTAATACTATAAAAGCAATTGTTCAAGTATTGAAAAAACTGCTCGCCAGCTCATTTTTTCTACAATATCATTACTTCAATTACTAGTACGTCACACAAACCGATATAATGGTGTTTTAAATTTCCTGCGTGCACGAAAACAAATTCCCGCGCATGTTTTTCTATGCTCAAATTAGAATCTCATGGCCCTTTTCCCTGGAACATGTTCTCGCACCCTTCGTTTCTCAGCACAAATTTCATGCCCTTTTTTAGGGTTTTATCGTTGCCGTTTATTTTCTCATTACAACCWCTAAAATATCATCATTTCGACATTTTTCTTATATTTYCTTTCAAAATCGAAGCCACTGTATATGTTTTTCTTTTGGTTTCACCAACATCCATTTAC